ATCTTCTAATCTGTTCCATTGATCCTCAGACCTGTTTTTTTTTGGCCAGGTCTATGTTAATTTTATCACAGTAGCTTTGTAGTATAATTTCTAGCCAGGATTGTGATGTGCATTCATTTTTTTTATCCTGTAACATTATTGAATTTGTTAATCAGTTCTAATGGTATTTCAGTAGATTCTTTAGATCTTTTTACACATAGTATCATATCACCCGAAAATAGGCATAGTTTGAATTCCTCCCTTTTGGTGTTTTCTCTTGCCAAATAACTCTGGGAAAAACTTAATTGGAGCTTTTGATTAGCACTAAGCCATCAACTTGTATTTACTGAGCATTGCTGTAAGTCAGTATTAGGTATTGAATATGAAATATGAAATCATATCATGTGAAAACATCATGTGAAATATGAAATTATAAAACTAAGTGTGAAATATGAATTATAAAATGAATAAAATTTAAACTTTTAGGATACCTTTTAGTTTACCTTATATATCTATGATCCCATTTCATCTACATTATAGTTTCTGTTCTCAAAGCTTATAGATCTTGTTGGGAAGACCAAAAATACGTACATGGAAAGTTAACTCAACATATCTGAATTGCTCTGATTTTAGGCTTGCTAGAAACTCTAAGAAGATGAAACTGGGTGTAGTGGTGCACGCCTATAATCCCAGAACTTGATAGCCTATAAAGAGGAGGATCACTATGAGTCCGATCTACACAGTGAGATCCTGTAGACCCTGTCCTAAAATAAAAAAAGAAAGAAACTCTAAGAAGGCACTGAAAATATGAGTTTAAATGTTTGGTATTCATGAGTGTGAGGTAGGATTTGAATTGTCTATATAGGAATTCTTTATTGCCAGAGAAAAAAATTTGAAAGAAAGCACCACTGACCATGGGATGAACTGACCTCAAAGCACTATTGGCCTGTGCACCTTCTCATACATTAGACCTTCATGACCATTTATACAAAACAAAAAGCCTTATGTCTGCACAATGGGAAAGGGTAAGGAAAGGGAAAAGAGGAGTGGGAAAGCCAACTTATAATGTACTAAGATAGGAGGATCTTATTGTTTTAAACAAGCCCTGTGTGGAAAGGGAATCCATGCATGTATATATGTATGTGTGACTCTCTAATATCTAGTGTCCAGTGTAGAACACTATGGCTAAAATCTGGGGTGCATAGAATTGTCTCAGTTACTCTTCTCTCATTGCTGGGACAAATACAGACACTCAAAATGAAGGAAGGAAAGATATATTTAGCTTACAATTACTGGAGGTTTCAGTTCATACTCAGCTGGCTCCAAGGCAGACTGGCACATAGAAGAGGACAGCAGTTCATGGCAGTAGAAGGCAGCAAAACAGCAAGAGAAAAAGGGAGGAATAACAGTGACAATGGCAACAGAGAGCAAGTCTATCTCCCTTATGTTACATTTAGGCTATCCGCCCCAGGCTGGGTGTAGCACTCGCAATAATCCCAGCAGCACTTACACTCATAATCCCAGTGGGTCATGAGTTAATCACAAACTCTAGAAGTCTACCCCATGACTGCATGAGGCTTTGCAGGACAACTAGATACAAACAATAACAAGAATGAAAAGGGAGAGCTCACTTTTAAATAATTCAAGCTGAAGAACAGGAAAAACAACTATCATACAATAACCAAATGACTTGTATTTTCTCAGTACTGAACTATAAAGATCTAAGAGAAATAGATATGTATGAAACTTACTTTGTCTGGAGGGGACCTTGCCTTAGATGTGGCAGATTTTGCCACAGTAACCCTTCAGCAATTTTTTAATGTTATATTTAAATCTTTGACTCTAAATACATGTTTTCTATGGATAACCTGATGACTTCTGTTTTAAGTGATTTCTATTAATGCCATATGATGGTTATTTGGGGTGTTAGGTCAAGATGAAGGAATAGGATTTCTACTTTTTACTTTTTGGAATTATGTCATGTTTTTGCTGCTTCAGGGAATGTGACTTGACTGAAGGCAATGTTATTATGTGATGTTGTAGTCTAAAGATAAAAATCAAAACTATTAGTGATTTATCTTCCTAGTTCCAGCATGCTAAAATCATTATTTCATTTCTTTGCATTGACATGGGAACAAATGACATTAATCGCCTTCAAAGATTTCTCTTATTCTTGAATTCTGCTTGGGTAGTTTAGTGCCATTTCACAGAAAATGTTATAAAATAAATTTTAAGAGTCTGAGGAAATGGTGAGGGAGGGAAGGAGGGAGGGAGGGAGGGAGAGAGAGAGAGAGAGAGACTCAATCTAAACTTAAAATGGGTGTTAGGTCAGGGAATTGGTGACAACATCAAAGACCACATAAAGTAACTGAGACTCATGGGAAAGCAAAAAGAAAAGAATTTACTTATGCTTCAACATGAAACACAAGTGAGTACTTTGGGCCTCCCTTTTAATTGGCTCCAAGAGGCATGATTGCAAAGTCACAAGCCAATTAATGAGTCCCAGCTTTTCTACTCATGATCCTGTCTCTAAGGTGAATATAGATTTTGGATCCTATCGTCCCCATTGTCCTCTCAAGGATCACTCACAGCTTTCTTTCTGCCACTTCCTTGTCATTGAATTATTTCTACCAGTTCTGAAACACAAGTATCTTGCCTGTTCAGGAGCAATTACAGAAATAGAAGCAGCAGCAGCAGCAAACATGGGCACAAACTCCAAACCTACAAAATCTCCCTTAACTCCATGTTAACCCATCACCTATCTTTGCTTGATTTCATTCACAGCCAAATTCTCAGTTAGGCTGTAGAGATTTGTTGTTTGCTTCCCATGGATTGCATGTCCCACCATGGTCTGACTTCTATCCGCAGTCTTCTTTCTTTTCCAGCATCCTCAGGCTTAGAGAATAGCAGCAACCATTCCACAAAGTAGCTTGCACCTAATACCTAGGAATTAATCTGCTTCTCTGTGCTTCCCTCATTTCTCCACACACAATTAATCACCTGGTTCCATTCATTTGGTCACTAAATCTCTCCAATCAATCTACCTGTTTCTTTCTATTCTCATTACCCCTCCCTAATTTGGGAGGCTATTAGTTCTCTGTGTACATGCAGGTAAGGCTGGTGGTTGTGTGCTGTTATAGAATGAGTTCGTACTTAGGGACAGTGATGACCACATAGGGGAAAGATCCACTCCCTGGAGATTTTCTCAGCATATTCACACTTCAGTAGATTTTTCTGTTTCAAATGGTGACATCTGCATCTTTCAGTTGGTTCCCATCCACTTCCCTGGCATTTTCCTTTGATTTATGCAGGATACCTCTGCTACTTCTAGAAGCTCTGAAATCAGTAGTCACTTTAGCTCTGTACTTAGGGTCTGGCTCTGAGCTAGATTAGCTCTATGAGGCTGGAGATATCAGCAACTGTTGATATATTTATTTGTAGAATAGATCGATTCCCCTGGCCCAGTAGGCCTTACTCCTGGTTGAACATCACAATCACCTGGGGAGGGATTAAATACCCAGTGATCAGGCTGAGCATGAGAACAGCAACCCAGTTTCCCTATGCCAAGGCCTCAGGTTATTAATTTTTAGGGTTTTTTTGGGTCAGGATACTTGAAAGCTTCCACAAAGATCCCCATGTGCCATTGACTTAATGATGTTTGAAGAACCTTCGTTCTACCATTTTCTGTTTTTATTGTGCCCTAAACCCAAATTCAGGATTCTTTTCTTTTAATGTTTTTACTAAGTTGGGAAGAAATAGCTGTGAAGCTCCCCCACCCCCTTCCATCTGCTGTTTGTTCTTATTTACATACGATGGAACCAAGCCCACTGATTTACAGCTCTGGTTCCCTTACAACTGTTATTGAACTGAAAACAGCAGAAAACTTATTAAACAGAAAAAAAAATTATTTTGAGCTTTGTGCTGTCAATTCCTTATAGAACAAAGGAAACATTTAGATTTTTATGCTTGCGAAAGTAATATTTAAAATTGAGCTATAACCTCGTAATTGAAAATTTAAATTTAGTTCTGTAGCCAGACCCCATCTTGTATTCATTCTTAGGCATTCCATTAAGGAAAGCAAGGCATCTCTGTAGGAGGACGGGGTTTCCAGAGTTTGCACCTGTGAACATTGGGGCCTCCTCACTGCTGAGAGTGGCTTTTTTTTTTCGGAACCAGGGATTGAACCCAGGCCCTTGCACTTGCCAGGGAAGTGCTTATTCTACTGAGCCATGTCCCCAACCCTGAGAGTGGCTTTTGAAGCTGAGAACCATTCTCTTTTCCCCAGTCCTTTCTACTGGCAGCAAAGCCAGGGCAAATCTGATGTCAAGGTGGATGTGGCCCCACTCTTTAAACCCTAGGGTATGAATGAACCTTTCAGAAGACATCCTTTCTGTAAGGCTCCTTTTGGACCACCCCTTCTAGAGTAACAAGACTTTGCTGCGCTGAAAGGAGTAGAAAGGAATGTAGAAAAATGATAGAGAATAGCCAAATATTTGTTGTGACCACTGCCACTAACTTGGAAAAGATTTGGGGTCTTGGCATAAATCTGATGAATGCTGCTAAAGGCCCTTTGAGATGCTGGCTCCCCTCCCTGTTTCTCTGCTACTAGTATCTTCCTCAAATGTTCCTTAGCTTTCTTCTTCAATACCTATTTGAAATACACAATCCATGCATTTGCTTGTCTCTCCCAAGTGTTTTTCAGAGTAATGAATTTGGTTACTACTTTGACAAAGGTTAATTTAGTAGTCATGGACAGGTGAATTACCCATTAGTCATGACCTATAGTGAATTCTTTACCATACAGTCCTTTTAAAAGTAAGCCCTCAAGTTATTCTCATGGAAAAAATGGTTAGTTATAGCATGTTGTAGAACATGTGTCACCCGAGCATGGCGTCAAGGTGAAAGAACCTCTTTCTCGTAATATTAAGCACTGAACTATTTCTCATGTAAGCTGATTTGTGTCTAGAAAGCACTGTCTGAGGTTTTTTAATTTGATGCTGTCTCTTGATATTTTCTTGTAGATGGAGGAACTGATTGAAGGCGTTCGCTGGGCCTTCATTGACATGCTGGAGAAAGAAAATGAGTGGATGGATGCAGGGACAAAAAGGAAAGCCAAAGAAAAGGTAAGGATTCCTTTTGATTAAAAAACCACAACGTTTGATTTAATGCTTTTGCTTGCTTGACATTGACTATGTAGGTGATTTTTATGTTGACTGATTTGTTGGCTTTGAATGACCTTAACACTGACTGTGTGTTTTGGATGAACACATAGATTTCGTCACTAGAGGTAGGAGAGAATAAGAATAGACTTTTTCTTTCTCTGACTGCATTTTCAAATGCTATGCGATTGAGACTTCCCTTCTCTCCTAATTTTTGTCTGCAAGAGCCACATGGTTTTCTGCCTACCGAGTTCTGCCACAAACCATCATCGGATATGGCAGAATGCAGAACAGTAGGGAGCCATCGGTAGCAGCTGGCAGAAGAGCCCTCAAGATGTAACGAAGAAGAAAGCCTCACACTGACTATGTGTCCTTCTCTGTGCATGACGTCCTGAGGCAAATCCTTTCCCATGCCCGAGCAAATCTTCTCGTAACCCATCATTTTGCACCAGTGAGCCAAAGAACATGCTTATAAACTGCAGACCAGTGAGAGTGCGCTGTGTAGGAATCAAAAATACTTCTTAATAGATGTGGACATGTGCTTGGCACTGTCAGATTTGTGCCAAGAAAAGGGAGCAAATGAGGGAATTATTAACAGCTGTGTTGTTTAGCCTGCACCTATCTTGAATTCTTAGTACTCTTTTTAAAATTTTTTTTCCCATAATTTTATTGAGAGACATATAGCAATAGACAGTTTCCAATCCAGTTGGTAGGACAGTTTCAATAATTAACACATTGCATACATTCTTGCTAGTGGTTAATTGCTGTACAAGATGCAGACATGATATCCTATTTACAAACACTATTAGAACAAATCCCTCTATTCATTAAGAGAATGTAAGGAGCTGGAGCTTAAGTGGGTAGGGCACAGGGGCACCTCCTTCACCCTCTCCATGGATGCCATCTGCAGCTTGGAGATTGCCATATTAAGAGCACCTCTGCTTTAGAGAGGTGTTTTGAAACCTTCCTGATGCTAACAATCACTTGGCTTGTGTGACTATCCTCTAGCTTTTTGGGGCCCTCTCCAGTTGGGCCGGCTTTAGTAATCACAAATGAGCATTTGTGATCTTAGCCTGTTAGCATTAGAAGACCTAGGGAACTCTATGTAGTCATACTGACTCAAGCTTAGCACAGATATTTTCAAAGTATTCTTTTTGTGTGTGGTGATCAGGATGGAATTCAGGGCCTTGCATATTTGAGGCATCCACTCCACTGCTGAGTCCCAGCTCCAGCCCTGAGCACAAACACCTGTGCTTTATGGGCAAGAAGCAAAGGGAGGGCCTCATTCTGGGAAGGCCTTGTTGAAACCTGAATGTGCAAAAGTTTAACAAGGGTATTTTTCTAGAGCCTTATTACTTCATGGATGGATAGACCTTGTCATAGAAATTTTTGTCAATAAATCTGAAAAAGCTATTCAGGGTTGCAGTGAAGAAAGAATTTGGGCGGTGGGAGAAGGTGGGGAGTGGTGGAGGCAGACAAAAAGTATGTTTGGTTCCTTTCTCCCCTCCAAGATCTATCAGCTGTTAAAAGTCTTATAAAGCAGAAGCTGATGAAGATAGGAACACACAGGCTGGGAGGATAGGAAGCTCGCCTGACAGTAGGCGGCGAAACGTTCAGTACCAACATAGGGTATTGGTTTTTGGGGGCACCATGTGGTTTGCACTGGGCAGCTGAGCCCTCAGCATGTTAGCCAGCCTTTATCTCAGCTTGACTGAGGGCTACATTTATGAATTAGTGCCAGACCACTGGAGTCGGGTGTAGGTAGACTGTGAGGGTTTGTGTTTATGTTATGAATGGATAGACACGAGAAGGATGTCCTGGGGAGTGTGGTCATCTGTTTTTGAAGTAGATGTTGAGATTGCTTCAGGGAGATATTCCAGGTTGCATTAGGGAGTGGATGTCTCGCGGGTGTGCCTTCTAGACACAAGGCCCACGGGTCCTTCTTGAAGAAATATTCTCAGTCCTATCATTAGACATGCTTCTGCTGCGCTCTGAGTTGATTTGAGGTCTTATATTTTATTTCAGTGAGAGCTGTCAGTTTTTCTCCTAACAGCACTCTTTGAACACTTGGCTTTCTTTGAGCTGAGTTCAATCTGCCAGAACTCCACTAGTTCCTCAACAGGTACAAGTATCAAAGGCAATTGTTCTACTGGATCTCACAAGGCTCTTCAAGCATATCTTGTATTTAAGAGTTCACAGGAGTTCTTTTAATGAAAGGCTAGAAACATAAATGTCCAAGAATTTTCAGCAGTCCTTGGAGGCAGGTTCCTTCTTGGTCCCAGAAAAATGATTCCCCCCCCCCAATTAAATGAAGTTGCAGTTCTTGGAATGACCTCTGGGTGGAGCTCATAGTACTCACAAAGAGCACAGTAAACTGCTTTTATGCAGCTTTGTACTCCGGGGCTGTTTTTTGCAAAATTATATGCATTTTTCTCGCCTTTTTTCTCTGCTGTCCTCAATTTGATTGCCTTTTAATAGTCAACAAGAAAGGAGAGTCTCTGCTTAATAATTCCTTGAATCTGAGATGGAAATCTCTGACTATTTTAGGGCTTTGCCTTTCTGATATAGAATAGCCCTTGCATTAAGAAAGGATTTGCCTGCATTTGAAGTGGAGGTGAGTAATTTGCCTTCCCTTCCTGGTATGACTTGGCACTGTTCTTTGGGCATGTGTTGTATGCGGTATATCACCCAGGCGGAAGATTTCTCATCAATAATAGCGCCCACACTGGGCCAATGCTGAGTCACTTGGCAACCCATTGGGAAAGCTGAAAAAAATGTTCCCGATTTGCAGGGGGATGAAGCTTTTCTTTCCCTCACCACGAAGCCCAGAACTGCAGCTAATTGAAGTGCTTCCTAAATGAAAGGTGTTGACCTCGGCTTTCTATAGTGACCGACCTCCTGAGCCCAGCGGTCCAGATACTCTGGGTTCGGGTCTGAGGCCTAACTCTTTGGCTTCGTGACAGTGACCCGATCTCCAAATGGAACTGTGTGGATGTGGCTTTGTTATGCTCTTTGCTAGAGGTGATCACTATAAAAGACAAATGAGGATGTCTCTGCTTCCGTGAAGGGTAAATCTGTTATTTCTGTCTCCTTGCTTTTTCCCGCTCATCCCTTAAGAAGTCCGGAGCGCTTTTGCATTGTGGAACCTATGGTATAGGTTTAAGGGGAAAATTTGATATTATGAAATAACTACCAATTTCAGTTTAGGATTCCATGTCCCCTGTAAGCATATGCTCTTAAAGTAAGCAAACGGCAAAGGATGGGAGGCTTGTTATTTTTCTGGTTATCACAGCCACTGAATGAGTGAAAAGCAAAGGATGTGGGAGGTGGGGGTCTCGTGGAGGAGTCATCCTTTCCAGAACACAAAAAGAGGCTCTCAAGGTCACTGCATGAGGCCAGGCAGAGAGGGACTTAGTGCTGCCTTTGGTGCGCCAGAGCAGGAGGAGCAGCTTTCTTCCCCAGATCAATGTAGCTGTGTAGTCTAAAGTGAGATCCCTTCGGAAAGATTTGCTTGTGGTCTTTGCCCTTGGCACCTACGCCTGTCAGGCCACACCCAGAGAAGAGTACCAGGACGGAACTTACTGAGAGGAAGAAGGCCTCTGGGATGGCTGCGAGGGAGTAGTAGCTTAGCCCTGGCCACAGCGGGTAAGGAGAAGTGCATTGTATGTTCCCAGCTCCATATCCAGGCGACTCCCACACGCCAGCTTTGAGGCAAGTGGGAGGAGTTCTCTTGCAGTGGGCAAAACAGAAGTGTAGCTCACCTCCTTGCCTTTGGCTCTAAGCTCTGCCAGTCTTAGGCTTGAATTTCCTCCCGGTGTGCAGTCTGTACCCACCAGCCAGTGCCCTGCCTGCAGCCAGAGCTGAGCTAGATGATCCCTAAGGGATGGCTGTGCAACAGCCGCAGCAGACCTGGGCAGCTGCTGAGGTGCAACTCCTCACTGCCATCAACTTGGCCACTTCTAACCTCTAGGGGAGGGATTATATTCTCCTGGTAATTCCAGTGCTCTACAAAGCTTGGGAACCACTGTCCTTGTCTTCACCATGTCACTGCACATCTGTCTGACTTCAGACTACAGGCTCTTGCATTTTGTCCCAGGATTTTCTCTTCCTGCTGGGTTGCTCTTGTGGGAAGGTAGGATTCCCACACCGTCCTTGCAGCCCTCAGCCAACCGTGGATGAGAGTTGGGACACAGATGTCTCAGCTCTCTCATCTTCTTATGTGCTCTACATGAGTTCCTGGGGCTTCCCCAGTGGGCTGGAGCTGCTTGGCAAAACACCCTTTATTGATTTCTTTCCTTTTTCCTTGGACTTCGCCAAGCCCTCCCAAATGAACTGCATGTACTTGGATACTTGTCTCAGGGTTGGCTTCTAGAGGGATACACAGAGCCCCTCGGTTATGCTCTCTTCCCATACTTCTTTTCCTTTAAGGCCACAAATACTGCATTTCATTGCATCTGGATCCTAGCACAATTTCAGCAGCAAATTCAATTCCACAAACATTTGCAGCACATTGGCAACATGCCAGGGCCTGGGTGAGGAGCTGCAGATTCTGACTAGGGACCGATCAGTGTGTCTTTCTTCTGCAGGATCTTTCAGACTCCTGGGGTGGCACAGGAGTACCTTAGATGCAATGTCATGCATGTGAGGTGGATGGATTAATGTCAAAGATGCAAAATGAGCCTGAGAGTCTAGGCGATGGGGCTTCTGAGGAGCCCTGCCTGGGAATCTCTTGCTTGAGGAGTACCCACCTGTCCCTCCTTCTCTTCCTCTGTCCTGTCCCAGGCCCTATCATGGCTCATGTTCTTACTGCCTATGGGGAAGACTTCCTCTGGGCTCTTCTTAACTTGGTAAGCCAAAAGCTTTGCAACTGAGCATCCAGCAGTCCCTTTTCCTTTGATCCGTTCATGCCTGTGACATCACATTCAAGGCTTCATTTTAAATTGGCATGGGGAAGAAAGGGAGGA